GCCACTCCAGGACCTTGAAATGCTTCTTACGAAGCCACTCCTTCGTTGCCCGGGCGGTGTGTTTGGGATCATTGTCATGCTGAAAGACCCAGCCACGTTTCATCTTCAATGCCCTTGCTGATGGAAGGAGGTTTTCACTCAAAATCTCACGATACATGGCCCCATTCATTGTTTCCTTTACACGGATCAGTCGTCCTGGTTCCTTTGCAGAAAAACAGCCCCAAAGCATGATGTTTCCACCCCCATGCTTCACAGTAGGTATGGTGTTCTTTGGATGCAACTCAGCATTCTTTTTCCTCCAAACGCGACGAGTTGAGTTTTTACCAAAGAGTTCTATTTTGGTTTCATCTGACCATATGACATTCTCCCAATCCTCTTCTGGATCATCCAAATGCACTCTAGCAAACTTCAGACGGGCCTGGACATGTACTGGCTTAAGCAGGTGGACACGTCTTGCACTGCAGGATTTGAGTCCCTGGCGGCGTAGTGTGTTACTGATGGTAGGCTTTGTTACTTTGGTCCCAGCTCTCTGCAGGTCATTCACTAGGTCCCCCCGTGAGGTTCTGGGATTTTTGCTCACCGTTCTTGTGATCATTTTGACCCCACGGGGTGAGATCTTGCGTGGAGCCCCAGATCGAGGGAGATTATCAGTGGTCTTGTATGTCTTCCATTTCCTAATAATTGCTCCCACAGTTGATTTCTTCAAACCAAGCTGCTTACCTATTGCAGATTCAGTCTTCCCAGCCTGGTGCAGGTCTACAATTTTGTTTCTGGTGTCCTTTGACAGCTCTTTGGTCTTGGCCATAGTGGAGTTTGGAGTGTGACTGTTTGAGGTTGTGGACAGGTGTCTTTTATACTGATAACAAGTTCAAACAGGTGCCATTAATACAGGTAACGAGTGGAGGACAGAGGAGCCTCTTAAAGAAGAAGTTACAGGTCTGTGAGAGCCAGAAATCTTGCTTGTTTGTAGGTGACCAAATACTTATTTTCCACCATAATTTGCAAATAAATTCATTAAAAATCCTACAATGTGATTTTCTGGAAAAAATATTCTCAATTTGTCTGTCATAGTTGACGTGTACCTATGATGAAAATTACAGGCCTCTCTCATCTTTTTAAGTGGGAGAACTTGCACAATTGGTGGCTGACTAAATACTTTTTTTCCCCACTGTACAAGATGGACCAAGAGTAGGATTTCTACAAATGTAAGAATATACTTTCATTCATTGCTAAACCTGGGTGACTGGTTTTGTGAAATGTTTGTGAAAAGTATAGTTTGGATACTCTCAAGCAAGAAAGATAAGCAGAATTGCTGCTATCACAACTACTTTAACGAGATAAAAGGGAGGTCAATGCATGAGGAAAATAGGTACATAGTTAAGAACCCATCAGTAACAGTATTTGAGAGTGTTTGAGTTGATTCAGAGTGCAAGCTGTCAAAACTGAATCTGTATTTACATATCCAGAATGTAATTAGTATACAATTAGGGTATATTAGCGTATAACTTATAGAAATGTATTACCACAAAACAGAGATTAACATATAAACTGTTGAAGAGGATCATCTCCACCCAACTAGGACACTTGTACATCAACAAACTGAATGAAAAGCTCCAAACTCATTACCCAATCCCAACTTTTAAAAAGTAGGCCGTTGGTACGGATACTGAGTTTTCACCCACGCCCCCACGGAAAGGATCCGGATCACTTTCTGCGCATGTGTTTATTTTACGCACACATTCGTTTTTCTAACGTAGCTGCTGCTCACACTCCCCCCAGTGGTTTAAAGTACTTAAATAAAAATACTTTAAGGTACTACTTAAGTAGTTTTTGGGGTGATCTGTACTTTAATATTTTTATTTACTTCACTACATTCCTAAAGAAAATAATGTACTTTTTACTCCATACATTTTCTCTGACACCCAAAAGTACTCGTTACATTTTGAATGCTTAGCAGGAAAGGAAAATGATTCAGTCACACACTTATCAAGAGAACATCCCTGGTCATCCCTACTGCCTCTGATCTGGCGGACTCAGTAAACACACATGCTTTGTTTGTAAATGATGTCTGAGTGTTGGAGTGTGCCCCCGCTATCCATTAATAAAAAATAAAAAACGCTGTCTGGTTTGCTTAATATAAGGAATTTGAAATTATTTACACTTTTACTTTTACTTTTGATACTTAAGTATATTTTAGTAATTACATTTACTTTTGATACTTAAGTGTGTTTAATACCAAATACTTTCAGACTTACCAAAGTAATATTTTACTGGTTTAATTTCACTTTTTTTAACTTTTACTTTACCCACCACTGACTCCCCCTCCCTTCATGTTTCGCTCTTTACTCACCCACTTCTGAACCATGATGACATAGCCTATGTCTAGGCCTCATATTTCTGAACAGCTGAATAAATACCCTGCTGCGATTTGAACGAACATTCCAAAACATACAGTGCCTTCGGAAAGTATTCAGACCCCTTGACTTTTTCCACATTTTGTTACGTTACAGCCTTATTCTAAAATTGATTAAATAAATACAAATCCTCATCAATCTACACACAATACCCCATTATGCCAAAGTGAAAACAGGTTTTTAGAAATTTTTGCAAATGTAAAAAATTTAAAAACAGAAGTACCTTATTTACATAAGTATTCAGACTCTTTGCTTTGATACTCGAAATTGAACTCAGGTGCATCCTGTTTCTATTGATCATCCTTGAGATGTTTCTACAACTTGATTGGACATGATTTGGAAAGGCACACACCTGTCTATATAAGTTCCCACAGTTGGCAGCGCATGTCAGAGCAAAAACCAAGCCATGAGATCGAAGGAATTGTCCGTAGAGCTCAGAGACAGGATTGTGTCGAGGTACAGATCTGGGGAAGGGTACCAAAACATTTCTGCAGCATTGAAGGTCCCCAAGAACACAGTGGCCTCCATCATTCTTAAATGGAAGAAGTTTGGAACCACCAAGACTCTTCCTAGAGCTGGCCGCCCGGCCAAACTGAGCAATCGAGGGTGAAGGGACTTGGTCAGGGAGGTGACCAAGAACCTGATGGTCACTCTGACAGAGCTCTAGAGTTCCTCTGAGGAGATGGGAGAACATTCCAGAAGGACAACCATCTCTGCAGCACTCCACCAATCAGGCCTTTATGGTAGTGGCCAGACGGAAGCCACTCCTCAGTAAAAGGCTCATGACAGCCTGCTTGGAGTTTGCCAAAAGGCACCTAAAGACTCTCAGACCATGAGAAACAAGATTATCTGGTCTGATGAAACCAAGATTGAACTCTTTGGCCTGAATGCCAAGTGTCGCGTCTGGAGGAAACCTGGCACCATCCCTATGGTGAAGCATGGTGGTGGCAGCATCATGTTGTGGGGATGTTTTTCAGCGGCAGGGACTGGGAGACTAGTCGGGATTGAGGCAAATATGAATGGAGCAATGTACAGAGTGATCCTTGATGAAAACCTGCTCCAGACCGCTCAGGACCTCAGACTGGGGTGAAGGTTAATCTTCCAACAGGACAACAACCCTAGGCACACAGCCAAGACAACGCAGGAGTGGCTTTGGGACAAGTCTCTGAATGTCCATGAGTGGCCCAGCCAGAGCCCGGACTTGAACCCGATCGAACATCTCTGGAGAGACCTGAAAATAGCTGTGCAGCAACGCTCCCAATCCAACCTGACAGAGCTTGAGGGGATCTGCAGAGATTGTAGCGTCATACCCAAGAAGACTCGATGCTGTAATCCCTGCCAAAGGTGCTTCAACAAAGTACTGAGTACAGGGTCTGAATACTTATGTAAATGTGATATATGTTTTTTTTTTTTTATAAATTAGCAAACATTTCTAAAAAACTGTTTTTGCTTTGTCATTATGGGGTATTGTGTGTAGATTGATGTGGGGGGAAAAACAATGTCATCCATTTTAGAATAAGGCTGTAATATAACAAAATGTGGAAAAAGTCAAGGGGTCTGAATACTTTCCGAAGGCACTGTATATTATGAATGCTACAACCTTCTCCCTATGTCTGTTGTAATGGATTTTGCAGTTGCACAAGCAGGTCGCAGTCTCTACACTTTGGAGCAAAAACAATCAGCGTTTTGTGTGATGATGTATGCTAATCTTTATAGTTGCTGCCATATCATAGTTCCTGAAAAAATAACACTACTTGACTACCTGTCTGCCTGCACATCTTAGCCAATGTTTGCAATGATGATGAAAAAATAAGATTCAATTGCTAATTATAGTGTCTGTGTATTGCTGCGCTCCACCTCTGGGCAGCCGAATGTTCTAGGCAGCCGAGTGTGTATCCGGACCGGTAAAAAGAGTCGGACAATGGGCAAGTTCGTTTTGTATCGACCTGTGCCATAGTTATGCCATATTTGCTGATATCGTGGCAAGAGTAAATAGCTGCATGTAACTCAGCAACTAAGAAGAACATGATATCATGAGACTGCCTGTTTGTGTCGTGCGTATCTTTGCAATACTGACAAAGTTTGTACATGTCAATAATGTATTTTGTTTAAAACATGTAAATAGCTGCATGTAGCCTACTCCCCTCCTGAAAAAAGAACATGAAATCACGCTTATGCTTACTAAGACATGGAATGCAATAGTTGGGACAGTTTTGTGTACAACATGAAGTTTGTAGGAAATCGCGCTTATGCTTAACAGCCTACTGAGGGAATGTGAGTTCAAACTGTTTTGTGCACAACATGAAGTTTGTAGGCTACACCAGTGACCAGACAAAGGTGATGAAGGAGGGGGGGAGCGGCAGCGGAGCACTCAGTACAGCAGCTACGTAGGCAGCGGAGTGGGCACTCGGCTACAAAATAAAAAAATCCTGCACATGTACAGAAATATCAGTATTTTTGCCTTGGCAAATTGAGATGCAGAAACTCCATATCCATTCCATAAAAAGTATGACCACACCCCATAGGTGGGCCATGGGGGGATGTAACCCAATCAGAAAAATAAGAAGTGAGTGACAGATAGGTACCTGCTTCCCCTCTCAGGGCTTTCTCCACGGCCACGCCCCTCTCCTCCAGCTGTCTCTGCTTCTCCTCCACCTGTTCCAGCTGTCTCTGGATGATCTGACGGAGCAAGGACATGCCAGAGAACAATTTAGAACACACACACTAACGCCTCGATCACACCGACAGGGTTATTGCATTTTGGTACACCAGAAGTACATTCATTTCCAATGGAACACTGCGTTTGCCTTGCAGCATTGCGCTGCAGAGACAGTTGCAGTGCGTTCTGTGTGGTCCATATGTTGGATTTATCGAACGTATGCGTCAAACTGTATGCGTAGACGGCTTGACAGAAATGGTAGCAGAAGGTGAATGTTGAACTTTTGTTGCACACATATTGAGATGATGCTGCGTACTATTTTGCGCAATGACTATCGGTGTGATCAAGGCGTAAAGCTTACTACAAGCTTTACGCAAAACGCAAGATTCAGAGTGTTGCAATGTCGTTCACAAAAGGGGCGGCTCCTTGTAATACACTCCGGCATTCAACATACTTTTTTACTACATGAAAATTGAGACACGCCTTATCATTCCTTCCACAGCCGTGGGGGCTGTGTGTTGTCGCTTGGTCACTTGATCTGATCTATATGCTATATAGGCTATTCATCAAAGTAGCCTATTTTGCATCGATAACCAAATATAATGAAAGCAACTTTTCAAACAGTAAACCAAACAAAAAGAATCCACAAAAAACTTTTTTTTGTTTAGAAGTAATAACTAGTGATTACAGGCTATTGTGAAATGGTAGAACCTGCTGTAGCCAACTAGCTAGCCATGTGCTTTTTTCTCCGCTTACCAAACTGGGATAATGTTTTAGGTTACACAGGCAGGTATAAGAATATTTGCCAAGGCATATTTTGTTATTACAAATCTGATTATTTCACATGGAGATGTGGGAAGCTTAAAAGGTTAGCTAGCTTGCAATGTTTTTAGCCAGGCAAAAGCCAGCTAGCCAGGCTGCCAGATAGAGTGCCTTCAGAATGCATTCAGACCCCTTGACTTTTTCCACATTTTGTTACGTTACAGCCTTATTCTAAAATGGATTAATCAAATAAAAATCCTCAATCCACACACAATACACCATAATGAAAAAGTGAAAACAGGTAAAGACTTTTTGGCAAATGTATTTAAAATAAAAAACAGAAATACCTTATTTACATAAGTATTCAGACCCTTTACTTTGACTCGAAATTGAGCTACAATGTAGAAAATTTTAAAAATAAAGAAAAACCCTGGAATGAGTAGGTGTGTCCAAACTTTTGACTGGTACTGTATGTAAATGTGATATTGTTTTTAATATAAATTTGCACACACATAAAAAAACCTGTTTTTGCTTTGTCTGTCCCCTGTAGCTCAGTTGGTAGAGCATGGCGCTTGCAACGCCAGGATTGTGGGTTCGTTTCCCACAGGGGCCAGTATGAAAATGTATGCACTCACTAACTGTAAGTCGCTCTGGATAAGAGCGTCTGCTAAATGACTAAAATGTTAATGTAAAATGTCATTATGGGCTATTGTGTGTAGATTGATGAGGGGAAAAAAACAATTTAATCCATTTTAGAATTAGACTGCAACGCAACAAATGTTGAAAAAGTCAAGGGGTCTGAATACTTTCTGAATGCACTGTAGCTACTACTAGCAAAGGAAGGCAACTCTTCCTTGCTTTCACAAAATAAAAACACAAAAATAAAGAACTTTGCTATCGCCCCCTTGTGAATGGGAGTGGGACCTTGCGAGGATATTATGTTACCAAAAGGTGTCCGCTACTCCAAAAATCCCACTCCACCCACGTGCATACACGAACGTAGGTCAACAGAGTGAAGCTTGTACTAACCTTAACCCTAACCCTCTGTATGATCCGAGGAAGGAACGACAGGCCAGAACCCACACATATGAACCCACACATATGAACACGCACATACATACACACACACACTTGGAGAGTGTCTCATAGTACACATATTCAACATATTTGAATGAATTGACAGTTCCCTGGACTAAAAACTTTTTGTATGAGAAGAGTTTAAAGTTAATGTCTGAAACCCTCTTAATAATTAATTTCTCAAAGTTGGATTGGTTTTGTTCTTCGGTAAAAAGGCACACTTTTTGTCTTATCAAGTATTTATAAGCGGTAACACAGAGGGTGCATAGCTAATTAGTATTGTCTTGATCTCTGCATGAAGTTCTGTTTTGATGATTGGGCTTGCCAAAATCATTCAAAATTCACAGCAGTCTTGGTTCACCAGTTGGACCCTCCTGTGAACTCACACACAAGATACTTACTACACCAACTAAGTTTTCTTCCAGAAACAACATTTCCTATTGACTACTTACCTGGGCTCTGTGCAGCCTCTTCAACTCCTCCTGTTTGGCCTGTCGTCTGGCAGCTTTCTGTACCCTCCGTGTCAGCTTGGCATTGAGCTCCTCCTCTGTGTAGGTTTTCTGTAACAACATTACACCATGTTAGAGGCCTTTAGAGAGGTGCTCCCTCAGGCTCTGTGGGAACCAAGCCCTTCACGGACAGGACAGTGGAACCTCTCTATTCACAGAATGTTCAGAACACATTCACAGAACGTTTTCTAGGGAGAGACCAGCGAGATGTGACTGATATAGTATAATGTAATCTACAATCTATGACATTGCAGAAAAACACCAGAGGAGCCTTCTCCTATGGGAGAGAACGATAGCTCTCCTCCTCCACAGTGGGAGTAAATAACAAACTGGTGTTTCTTTTTGAGAGGTGGCTATCAGTTATACCAAAGACTACTATTGAGAGTACGAGAAGAGCTCACCAATTCTAGAAATGGCATAGCTCGGATAAGGCCCACAGGGTGAGACTTTTACTACAGGGATCTAATAGACAGAGCTGCTAACACAATCTGCTCTAACACAACCTGATGTTCAAAACACACAATTAAAACTGAACAGACATAAATCCACCAAAAACAATAAATGTCTGAGATACCTTAGATTTCCTTGTATAATATTTCAAACTCGTACTATTTCCCCAGTCTATAAATTCTCTGAAATGTATGGAAATGTATGGATATTTTATGAGTTGGTCCATTTACATTTAACAAGGTTTTTGTCATCTTTCAGTTATAATTTTTCTGCAATAAAAAGCTGGAGCGATATAGGAAAAGCGATAGTAGTATAGAGAAGGAGTACACCGTAACAAGGAGAGGTAGCTGGAATCCAAGTGGATCCGATAGCAGCACTGGAGAACAGTGGGTTAACATCAGACCAGTACAGACAAAAGGTAAGCTGATTGACACCCGACCGGAGCAGAAAAATGAACAGCATTGGAAAGTTGGAAAGTTGTCATTCATTGTGACCAGAAAAGTGAGTGCAGTAGTTTGGACCTCCAGCAGGTCGGTCAGGGCAGCCGCTGTGGCAAAATGGACAGAGAGGGTTAGGGTAGTAGTGCAACGATTGGCGCATGCGCAGGGGTGATATGACGTGGGACAATGGACATGTATGTACACACTACCTTGGTGGCGTACGCTCTCTTGAACGCCAATGCGTGAGGGACATAAACAGACTTGGGGAAGACAAAACAAAACAAACAGAAAAAACAAAACAAACAAACAAATGAAATTATTAAATGGATTAATGTTAAATCAAAATCGGCAACAAAAACTACATATTTCAACACAATCCCTAACACAATCAAACAGACAATGTTAAAGGGCCCCCACCTACACAAAGACGAGGGTGCTCTTCCCATACACAAAAATGTATGCGCGCATGACTGTAAATCGCTTTGGATAAAGCGTCTGCTAAATGGCATATTATTATTATTATTATTATTATTATTTATGAGTTGTGAATCCACATTACGACCATGAATTATTCATCAAACATTTAAATTAAATTATTTGTTTTTAAATAGATACCCAAGGCACCCAGCGACAAAGTGACCAAAACATTGACCCAAAACATTGACGCACAACGGTTGATTAAATGAATATTAAGGGATTGCCCAAAAATAGATGAATCTGAACAGCTAATAGCAGACCAGTCTGTGCCAAAAACAGGTGACAATAAGATACAGTAGACTACCTACTATTCCAGTGAGAAGAAAAGGTACTATTTCACCTCACAGAACTGTCACTACTCAACGTCACATCTCTAAAGAACTACAAACACTAAACAAACCACAGAACCAAATGAGTCCTGGTATTCCTAATTGAGCGTCACAGGGCCTATTAGCATCTAGCAAAGAGATCCACTCTTTATGAACAGGAAGTGCCCTTTTAAGTGTTTGAGCTAAAAATACGTTTTATGCTGCACCATCAGACCTATACCGTCTGGGACTAGGCACCTGGGTCCAAAATATGTCAAGGAAACTCTGAGCATGTTTGTCATGCCCATTGATGCTTCGACACATGTTCAGACTGTTGTGATCATAACCATGGGCTAGACAATAACAACGACAACCGGAAAATACCACTTTCTTTCTTCCGAGTTGCTTTGGAAAGTGTTTAAAAGTTTAGGATGATGAATGCGTGCCTCTGGCCCTGAGATCCATCTATTCTACTGTATAAACCTCCACAAATACAGCAGCAGCGGACTAAACACTTTAGAATTTCAACCATTTCAGCGTAATAAATGCAAATTACACTGCATATTTTGACTATTCACTAATATGATAAGTAAAACTAATTAAATTCAACTCCCACCCTAGAAGATGCCCGAGTCCAGTTATAATGTGAATATAACAATACTTTGCTTGCAGACAGAATAAAATGCCAATTCAATACGTAGAAAATGGAAAAGCTCCAGACCTTTTTTGATTACTTTTATAATTCTGTTTTGGGTTGAGTTACTTCCTGTTAAAATAAGAATTTAGGTGCTTGAGTATAATACAGTCCTCAAAAAGTTATTGTAATTGACATTCGACATTTGAATTTTGATGCTTGTTTGAAATTCAAAAGCATTCATCCCACTGTTGCACCTGGTGTAGTACCTCCATGATGTCTTCATGATTCGATCAAGGTCTCGACCTCGTTCTCATTCCCTTCTCTTTCTTTTTCCCTTTCCCTCACTTTTTTCTCCTTCTCCGCTTTCTTCTCTATTATTTCCTTCTGAATGCCTGACACTAGGTCAAAGATGTCTGTATGCCGCTTGGGTTAAGGGTTTAAATCAACATATGAAATCACAAACAATTACCACAGTGGGGGTGAGGTTTTTCGAGAGTGAACTGATGATAGATGAAAATAAAACTGTGACAAACATGACTCACGTCTGCCTTAGACTTCTGGGACGACCTCTCCAGCACATCATCACATGACATATCCGAGTCCTCAGAGAAGCTCAAGTTTCTGCGCGACTTCAAATCTGGAACGGAGAAACAAACAATCTACCTGTTATTTCTGTCTGGACTTGAAGTGACCATAACTAAAATAACTAGCCTAGAACATATAACCAAAGACTGACTGAAAGGCTCCTGAACAGCTGCTACCTCAAAGCCATAAGACTGCTGAACAGTTAATTAAACGGCTAACCAGACTTTCTACTTTTCACCCCCTACCTACATGTACATAGTACTTCAATCAATCACCTAACCAAACCCCAGTACACTGACTTGGTACCGGTACTCCTTGTATATAGCCTGTATATAGCCTCGTTATTGTTATTTTATTGTGTTATTTTATTGTTGCTATTTTCTTTTTATCTATTTGTTAATTTTCTTACTTTTGAACTGCATTGTTGGGAAAGGGCTCGTAAGTAAGCATTTCAAGGTAAAGTCTACACTTGTTGTATTTGGCGCATGTGACAAATAACATTTTATTTGATATCTAGACTAAATGCCTTGACCAAGCTCTAAGCAAGTCAGTGCGGTATGGTCCATGGTAAACTACAGGCTCCATGAAATCCTTTGTGTCTGTCTCACCTGACGACCTCCCGAGAGGCGACGATCTCTTCCTCCCAGAGTCGTTGGTGGTAGAGCTGGATGGCGTGCTGGGACACGACTTGTCGTCCTTATTCTTCTTCTTGTCTTTCTTGTACCCTGAGAACACTGCCTTCCACAGGGACTTGTGTTTGGGAGGCGACGGCGTCTTGTCTGTACCGTGCTTGTCGGAGAGCCGGCTCTCGTTCTTGGCTTTCTTCTCCTTCTTGTTCTTGCGTGGAGAGAAGAGGGAGCTGCGCTTCTTGCTCTTGCCTCCCGAGGCGGAGCCTTCAGAGGAGACAGTTGAGCCGTCCAGACTCTTGTTAATCTGACTGCTGAATAAAAGCTCTGGCAAAGTCTCCACCTTCTTTGACTCCAGAGCTTTCACCGCAGACGTCTTTGGAGAGCCGGACGACTTCTTAGTACTTTTTCCGGAAGTCTCTGATGAGGCCACGTTCCACACCACTTTAGCCGTGGCGGCAGCGCCCTTCGCCGAGTCCGTCTCTTTCATCTTGTTGAGCTGCTTGGCCATGGCATCTTTTAGAGCTTGGCTCTTGATTGACTTCTCTCTGGCTCTCATCCGCTCCTCTGCTATTTCCTTGGCCTCAGGGGAGAACTGCTGGGCCTTTTTTGAGGCCTGCTGGTTCCCGGTGAAATTGGCTGTTCCATTCTCCATGGCCAGGGCCAGGTAAAGAGGAGGTTTCTCCCTCTCCCTGTTGGGCCTGCTTGTGGGTGGGGTGTAGAACCTGTCCATGGTCGTGTCTGGTGTCCGCTCATCGTATGTGTCCTCCACGTCGTCCGCAAACGGGATCTCTGCCACGCATTCCACGAATGACTTCCTCCCCTCCTCCCGACATGGTTTGCTGCTCTTCTCCCGTCTCATGATCACCACTGGAGCAGTGACCGGAGCTGTGACCGGTGAGGTGACCAGTGTAGTCCTGGGGGCAGGCTTGGGCACTGGCATAGATACATGGCTGAGTTGGGTCCTCGGTGCAGGCACAGGGCTCTTGGTCTTGGTGGGTGCTGCCTTGGCTGGCTCCTTGGCTGGCTCAGGTGTAGTGGGGCCATCGATCCCATTGTTCCAGGAGACATGGTGCTTCTGCTGCTGCCTTAGGGTGGCTGGCTCCTCGTTGGGCGGGGGCGGCGGGGGGCTGGAGGGCGGGGTGAGCATGGTGGAGTTGGAGGTGTTGTAGCTGTCGCTGGCCGCCTGGCTGGTCTGGCTGGTGGTCGTGCTGCCATTGAGGCCCAGGCCAGAGCTGCTGCTGAGGTCCCTTTGATCCGTGCCGTTGCTCTTGGCCTCCACGGGGGAGATGACCTGGCCCTCCACCGTAATGTTCAGCCTGCGGATTACCGAGCGGCCGGTGAAGGGGAGAGGGGAAAGCTCCTCCGACAGGTCCTCTGGGGTGTAGGACTTGGGCGAGGAGGAGTCTGGGGTGGGAACCCTACCCACAGTAACATGACTTTTCTCTGGGGATTTGCTGCTGCTACGTTCCAGTTGGGTGAGACCCAGGCTCTTCCTGATCTCGGCACTCTTCAGCCAGAACTCCTCGATGATGTCCGTCTTCTTGACTGTGGTTTCCTGCTCTGAGAAGTCTAGGGATTTTTGTGGCTCAGGGGTAGCCCCGTCAGAGGAGGCTGGTTTGGCCAGCGGCGTGGAGGTGACTGCAGGGACAGGCTGAGTTCTGACGGGGGAGTCAGAGGTGAGGGATGAGGAGGACTCTCGGCAGGGCAGTGGCTGGGCACAGATGGGAGATAGTGGGTTCCCTGTCGGGGGACAGGAGCAGGGCGGAGAGTTGACGGGGGATTTGGTGGTGACGGTTTCGAGCAGTGGGACAGGCTGGGAGCAGATAGGGGAATGGACGGGGGAACGAACGGGGGAGCGGATGGGGGACGTAGTGGGGGCAGGGTATTGAGGGCTCTTGGCGTTGGGAGTCTGAGCTGTCCTCTGTGGTGTTGTGACGTCCTCCAGTGCAAAGGGTTCTGGGAAAAAGTGCATGCCGGGGGATTTGACCAGGCAGGGAGGAGAGGTGTGAGACATCTGGAAGACAAGCAGAGGAAGAGGAGCATTTAAACTCTGAGAAACTCATAGAATGCCAAGACCACAGAACTAGTAGATGAGAGGAAAACATTTAGTTAACACTTTACTTTACATTAAGTTGCCCCTATTATTATGTAATTAACACAGTAATAACATAGGAGTTATAGGTTTTACTATGCATTTACATGGTATTACCAGAGTTGATAAATATGCTCGGACCTGGTAACAACAATTGTAACAAGGAACACCCTGTCATTAACTACTGGTCATTTTCAATTCGTTTTTTGTATGTTATAACCTGGCTCAAAGGCTATACCGAATCAAGTGTAATGTTAGTACAATGTAGTTACATAGGATATACTTGTAATTATCATGTACCTATGCAGGCGCAGGCAACTTAATGTAAAGTGAAACCCAGTAGAGTATAATCTTTATAATTACTATGTAGTTACAATGTAACAACCTTTGCAGACAATAGGCTAACGAGGAGAAATTAGGAGACAGGACAACATTAGGTATAACCCTTTTAGGTACATTGTACTTACAATGTAACAATCTTTAACAACCAACTCTGTAATTACAATGTTGTTACAAGGGATTTACATGTATTTACAATGTACTTACCCAAGAGCAAGCAACAATGTAAAGTGAAGTGACATTTTTTATTACTTTGTAGTTACAATGTAACAACCTTTGCAGACAATAGGCTAACCGGGAGAAATAAGGAGACAGGAGAAATGTTTCAGTTTGACTTTTCTTGAATGGATTTGACAAAGATTCATATTCAAACCATTCAAATTAAATTCCCCATTTCAGACTCAAAGCAATAACTATTTTAGTTAGTAAAACGTACTAACACCGGGTGGTGGTAAAGCTAGCTAGCTAGCTTCCCCCATCATTCACTAATGTTGCTAGCTAGCTAACTAGCTAAGCACTGGCACAATGTCAACACATTTTCTAACTTGGTCAATAAACATTACAAAATCGTCATAAATCTTACGAAACATTTAGTTAACAATGTTATTTCACTATTTTTAGACTTACATTGCACTTTTGCACATTATAAACCTATACAAACACAAAATAATGAAGAGAAAGAAATAGCATGCGTCTTCCATTTTGGCTACAGAGGAGAGTGTGAGCAAAGATTTGTATAACTAACCCAAGATAGACCAGAGCCTGTTGTTTCCAATGGGAGCAAATGAATCATAGTGGGCAGAACAAGCACGAGCTAGTGAGATCCTATTGGCGCATTCTAGCATTTATTTGCATATTTCCATTAGGGAATGTCTACTCTGTGAAGTGCACATGTGCAATAACTCAATTCGCCCTTGCACCCCTTCTAAACAACTCAATTTTTTTGTAACTTTGGCAAAGGTTAAAGTCTACAAAACGCAGCCCACTCAGTTTGTTACAGATTTTAGTTTTGAAAACAGAAAACTGTATGGAGATCAAATGTTTCATCGATGAGAAAATGTGCAGAATGTCGACCAAAATCCATCTTGCTCCATCTTCTCCCACTGCCAGCCACTGGGCTTCCTCTCATCCCCATATTTGCTAGTGAGTGGAAAAGCCAACAGGATGCTTCACATTTATACATCCAGTGAAAAATCTGGCTCATTGTTCTATCTGTGGTGTGAGAGGTGAGAGGTAAGTGTGATGTCACTTCCTGGTGGACTCTCACTTATACCAGAGATCTGTATATAATGACGAGACGCTCATGTCTCCGCCCTAACAATGGGAGTCGCTGTCCCAAAGGTGGGAAGGCAGGTGACAAGCTTAGGTCAAAGACAGTACAGTATGAAGATAGGCACATCCCTGATCACACTTGTAGGCGATGTCATGGTGACGTTGTCTAGCTAAGCTCAGAAACACGTAATGCCCAGAAACATGTCATCGGGTCTAACGGTCCTTCGATATAATGTTATTTTTGACAAAAATGAAAATGGGCCAGTTTGTCACTTTCACGAGGTTGGAGAAATAACATGTTCTTGACACAAACCGGTGCGCCTGGAACCTACTAGCATACCCTGTTCAAAAGCACTTAAGTATTTTGTCTTGCCAATTCACCCTCTGAATGGCACACATTCATAATCCATGTCTCAATTGTCTCAAGGCTTAAAAATCCTTCTTTAACCTGTTTCCTCCCCTTCATCTATACTGATTGAAGTGGATTTAACAAGTGACATCAATAAGCGATCATAGCTTTCACGTGGATTCACCTGGTCAGTCTATGTCATGGAAAGAGCAGGTGTTCTTAATGTTTTGTACACTCAGTGTATATCCCTTGTAACAATATTGCAAATACAGGGTTGGTTGTTAAAGATTGTTGCATTGTAAGTACATTGTAACTAAAAGGTTTATACCTAATTTGTCATGTCTCCTAATTTCTCCTGTTTAGCCTAGTGTCTGCAAAGGTTGTTACATTGTAACTACATAGTAATTATAAAGATTATACTCTACTGGGTTTCACTTTACATTAAGTTGCCTGCGCCTGCATAGGTACATAATAATTACAAGTATATCCTATGTAACTACATTGGATTCAATGGTAGTGGCACCATGTAGTAACATGTAACAAGGTCCGATTTTGGTTTGAGGTGTTAACGTTGTAATTCACAGGTGACTTTCAAACATGTAATTACAAAACATTAGTTACATAGTGGAACAAGAAAATGAGTAATAACATAAAGTTACTCATGTGGCATAACCTTCAGCAAGTGAATGTGTAATTACACATTCCTTGTTCCAATTGTGTAATAACTGATTCCACAAAACAACCCGATTACCATGTAATTATATAGTAAAGCCTATGTAACTCCTACGTTGTTAGTAATAGGGGCAACTTAATGTAAAGTGTTACCAACATTTCTTACCTGTGAATCAGGCTGTGGAGTCGGTGGTTTGACTGGCAAGAGCACAACTTCCCCAACTAACTTCACCAGACTGACACTAGATTGTTCAATGCTGGAGGCGAACCCCTGACTCTCCGACTTCTTGTCCTCTTCAGGAAGTGCTTCACTGATCTCTGACTGGTGTAGATGAGCCTCAGCCTCCGCGTCGGAGGGAATGTCTTCTGTAATAACATAGACAATAAGTACATCTTAGAACCCGATAATGTACCTCACCATATTTGGTAGTGAGTGGGAACGCCAACCGGATGCTTCACATTTATACATCCAGTGAAATATCTGGTTCATTGTTCCATCTGTGGTGTGAGAGGTGAGAGGTAAGTGTGATGTCACTTCCTGGTGGACTCTCACTTATACCAGAGATCTGTATATAATGACGAGATGCTCATGTCTCCGCCCTAACAATGTACTAACAAGTACATCTTAGAACCCGATAATGTACCTCACCAGTCTAACCCTTGCTGTCATCATAGCTCATAAAGTACAGTTGTTCATACACATTCTGTGAAACCTCACTCTAGTATTAAATGAATAAGTAGAAAACTAAATAGCAGATTTGTTGAAAAAGTTGGTTCCATACCCTGGTCCATCTCTGTGCCTGGCTCAAAATCATGGCTGCCAACTTCTGCTTCCGGGTCATCATCCTCACAGGTCTCTGAGGGCACAGGAGAGTGAGGAAACAGTTAAACAGGGTACCAACTGAGCTTTTAGTCTGGTTCAACTAGGGCTGTGGCGGTCATGACATTTTGTCAGCCGGTGATGGTCAAGCAAATAACTGGCTGTCTCACGGTAATTTACCGTTAATTAACATAAACACATTTAGCATAGCCTACAAGCCACTGATGCAGACCTTTGGAATATCTACATTTTAAAAAGTATAATAAATCCATGTAATATAGCCTACACCATCACAATAAATCCATTATTTATTCTAGACAGGTCTAAAGAAACATGATATGAAGAAAATGTAGTCTATTTCAGAAGAACAGAATAGCATACTCTGCGTTGTCCTTATGTTAGGCCCTGATCTGGCTATACCATATGGCTGTGGGCTACACTAGTTCATTTAGCAGACAAGATTTGCTTAGAATTCAGTGGCATTATTTTATATTATTTTATAGTATGAAGAATACAATTGAACAAAGCTGAATCAAATAGAAAGGATATTTTCTACAAACAATTTGAGGCAGTGCGCACATGCGGCTATTCTGTGTTGAGCAGTTAAACAGGTACTCCTATATGCTTAATTTAGAGATATTTATGTAACTTTAGTTGTGATACAAATGTTGGGCTATAAGTTTAGATTTTTAATACATTCTAAGGCTGCATGATGAGACTCTAATGATGATTTGAAAAAAGTTGCATGAAAGGCATGAGCTCTGCTTTGTTTTTTGCGCAGGCTATACACACTTCATCAGTCTCTCATTCACAATTTGACAAGCACTTGATATTGCCTCGAATTTCCCGGCTGCAATTTTTATTTTAAACCCCCCCCAAAAAAAATATCCATGCCTTTTGCGGACAGCGGCCGCTGTGCCCTTGGGCTGAATATAATAATTATAATTCCCTTCTCCCCGCTGCGTGCCAAAGCACCTCTCACTCACATGGCTCTCAGTCACGTGATCAGGTCTTTCTCACAGGCTACAAGTAAAGACAGACACATCGGGGGACGCAACTGCAAATGTCCTTATCCAATTCCGAGGCACATATTGAAGATATTGGAAGAACTGTCCACATTTACTTTTCGTCAGACAACAAGATGATTACGCCTAACACACAGCAAAAGCACTAGCCTATATCAATCTACTATCACCCGTATTACAAAAGTTGACCTATTCTATTCTATGTGAGAAAGAAATATTCCAAACATAGTCCGGGACAGTTGTGGGATGCGATAGATCCCAAATTAATACAACCACTAGCATCAAAAAATGCTTTAAGCAATGAGTCTGACGCAACAGATGAGAACGTTTAGCTTAAAATGTTGATAAACTATTAGGCTGTCACATTCTGTCACGCAGCAATGCACACACAGCAGTAATATAATATAAGCTGTAATTGCAAATGTTCCATTAGCAGGAAAACACCATTCTCAAAAGTGACCACAAATGTGATTATGCATGTAATGCTTTTATTATAAAGGTGCATTTGTATGGTGAAAATTATCTTCCCCAAACTTGAAACTCACGCGCTGCGTATGTATGCCAGTTAGGCTATACACCCGTTATAAAGTGAATTAATGTGCTTCATTTTAAGAAGTTATTTGACCACTTTAGTTCTGATACAAACCTTAACAAAACATATTGGCCTATGGGCTAGGCTACATGAGGTGTGCGACTATGATTTCATAAAGTCTAAAAAAAAAGCATGCGCTGTTTGCCTTAAGCTGGGCATCATTGACAAGTGATAGGCTAATATTGTCACCCATCACACTATTCTTGATTTAATCTTGTCTTTACGTGGTCCTCTGTAGCTCAGCTGGTAGAGCACGGCGCTTGTAACGCCAAGGTAGTGGGTTTGATCCCCGGGACCACCCATACACAAAAAATTTATGCAAACATGACTGTAAGTCGCTTTGGATAAAAGCGTCTGCTAAATGGCAAATTTTTATTTTTTATTTTTTATATACTAAAGAATATATGTGTGAAATTTGTTTTGATTTAGAATGGACCATTATCATGCACCTGTCTCGAAACAGGGGCAGCAGGGAAAAAACATGTAATCTATGCACTTAAATAGCGAATGGAGGACGCTTTTCCTGTGGTTCATTTTCATGCCAGCCAGGTGGGCTATACTCCTGTTTTAAAGAGAAGCAACGTGCTTAATATTAGGAAAGTTGACAAATAAATATAGTAGGCCTAGATAATAGAGAGCTGATGGGATCCTCCTCTTTTTAATAGAGGCCATCACTCTTTTTTCTCAAGCAATTGCATAGCTTACAGAAATGTTGCGCAACATGAGCTCTCATGAAGTGTTTGATTAGATTTTCGATTACCTTTGCATTAATGTCAGAGTGATTAGAGGGACAATAGAGTGCTGAGTACCAGGCAGTTAGCAAGTTTGGTAGGCTACTAATGACCATCAGCAGCATCAGAGCTTGGACAAACCTAATTACCGTGACTAAACGGTCACATGGAATTTGACTGCCATCATGACTCGTGACCACCTGTGTGGCGGTAATACAATCACCGTAACAGCCCTAGGTTCAACCAAAGAGAGCTGTCTAAGACTCGCTCAAAGCTGTCTAATCTGAACCCTCTCATTTTCTGACCTCAGGGCAAAGGCAAGAAATGAAAGGTTAAACAAACACTTAAGAAAAAGGCCTTTGGGTGAATTTGAAGCGTGGAGACAGAAATGAGAAAAGCACATGAAAGGGGATCTATAATAACTCCTAATACAGACTAGGCTTAGGAAAAGTCCATTTCTGGGACAACTATAAAAAGAGATTTGTGGTAAGATGTTCATAGACACGTCATTATAACACTCACATATATTTGCACAAAACAGCCTTTGCAGATAAACAATAAACAAAAAGAAGAGCATATATCATGACATGATTCGTGGTTAGAGACATGCACTGATCCATTTCTGCAAATGCAAATGGAGGACACTTGCATCAAGCAATTGCAAATCCACAAGGTGTTAATTGCATCCATGTTGAAGTGGGAAAGCAAAAGTATCCCTCCTGTCAAAAGGGTCCTTGTGAGATCCATACACTTTATGTTACTAGTTTGTATGTTTTTTGTGTGTTTGTCAAGAACGAAACTGCCCCAAAACCTTGAAATGGGAGTCAGCCCACCTCAGAAACATGCCACTGTTAATATCAAAGGAAAACAAGGATTCAAGAGAACTGACAGCGCTCTAACTGACAACTCCACCCACACAAGTCATTACCCATCTAGTGACATCATTGTGCACGCCAGGCAGACTACCATAGGCTTGCAACAGCCCTGGTGAGTGTGGTGTGTAGCCTACAAGAGAAGCACAGCTTTTACAGAGCTTTATCCTGGCTGGCCTGGCACCCTGCGGTGATGCCCCAGAATGATCAGACCCCTTATATCTGACAGGCTTTTAAACTACCACTACCCCCCCCCCCCCCCCCACCCCACCCCATAACTCGTCTCCTTCTACTCCAATACTTTACTTTATAGTTTGATCAGACGTACAGGGAAGCAAGGTTGGGTGGTGAGTAAACTGGTAAAGTGTTGGTATAGTTCCAGCATGCATGCTTGTGAGTGTGTGTCTGTGTGTGCTGCCATGCTATAAGGAAGGTAGAGCAGAATAGAGCTGTAAGCCAAAGGTATAGGGATCATCATATATAATGATCACATATATCGCTCTGCACTACCTCCGGACACCGACTCCAACCAGACTCGCACAGCCTCATGACGGGCGGATGTGTTGGCGGGGGCTACATTTAAAACAAACATGGTTGGGACAGGAAATTAACAGAACAGACACATGGGAAAGAAACAACGGAACAGAACAAAGCCAAACCAAATGAACAGAGAGAATAAACAAAAGGGATAAATAAAGGAAGGAATCTGGGGTGTGATTGGTGAACTTTGACCTGACCAAGTGACACCTGTGTCTCTGTCCACCGGTCACAACCCCAGACCCCTTCGCGACAACACTGAGACACAACATAAATCAGAGACACAAAAGAAAGCAGGACAATCAAAACCACATATGATTATAGACAAGAGGTTGGTTAGTGTGGGAGGGAGGGTTGGCAGTAGCCAGTCTGATGAGAGACACTGGTCCCCTCCCCCAACCGGGAGACCCACAGCCAGGGAGCCAAGGGGTCGGCCTGGGAAGTGTACCCAGGGATCAGCTCCTCTGGGCTGGGTTACCTGTGGAGGAGGGCTGGGTGAGCGTGGTGGAGGGCTGGGAGGCCGAGGCAGGAGGCCCCTCCGACAGCACGGAGACTCCTCTGATATTCTTAATGCCTGTAGGATCCACAGGCTGCAGCACTTGCTGGATCTGCAGGTATCTGGCTGTATGGAGGTGTAGGGGGTGGACCGTATATGGTTGGTGTGTGATGGTGGTGTGTGTGGTTTGTATGAGAGAGTCATTGAGGAATGGGGGTAGGAACACAAATGTAAACAGACAGGACAGAACGGAGAAAGAGAGGGAGACGAGAGAGAAGGCAGAGAGGTGATTTTAGACCAGTAGGAGACAGTAAGGTTGAAATATGATTTACCACAGGAAGGAGATGGAGGCTGCATGCACTAGTGTCCTAGAACAACAGTAACAGCTTTACAGTAAAATATTATACATCTGAAAGACAAAGTCTCTACCATAGCAAAACTGTTGACTGACTAAAAGGGACACTGTACATTTTCTTAGTATAAGTGGATTAGTACAAAAACAAAGTTGCAAGAAAAAAAGTGAATAAGAAGAATGTTAAGGGATAGAATAAAACAAGTGGTAATATTTCAGCTTGAGAATGTAAAACTGAGAATAAAAAATAACCGTCCTTCTCAATCAAAATTCCACAATTCAAACATAACCAAAACAGATAACACAAACACACAAAGATGCCAACACAACACTTCAGGAGAAAGCCTGGTAAAAAGAAACAAACCCAACACAAGAGTTAATTAATGAGAAGGTTCCTTCACTCGTCGATAAGTGTGCAAACCCCATCTGCAGGCAGTGGTGCTACCTTTAAATGTACCTGTATCCTCTTCATCTTTGAGGTTCTCCAGCCATACGCCTGACTGGAGCTCCCTGTCCCACGGGCAGTACTCCCCCTCTGCCAGTAGGGGGAGACATGGCCCATATCATATCCCACACACACACAGACACGAGACACACACACAGACACAGACACACGAGAGACACACACACAGACACAGACACACGAGAGACACACACACAGACACAGACACACGAGAGACACACACACACACACACACACACACACACACACACACACACACACACACACACACACACACACACACACACACACACACACACACACACACACGGAGGAAGAAAGGAGGAGAGGGAGAGGGAGGAGGTCGGAGAAGATGAGGAAAACAATGACTTTACAGTGACAGGTGAAAGAGGTACACTTTTCTCTAAAAAGCAGAATTAGTCTGTTCTGAGATAAATAGAGGACCGATAGTCACAGAGTTGAGATGAAGACAGAATGTTCACATACATATGAGGAGGAGAGATGAGGAAGACATCATAGGGATGACATCATAGGGATGACACCTCTCTGGCACCAGTTTACTGTAGAACCCACTGAGTGACAGGTCTGCTACATTCCAAATCACACATCTCATTAAAAAAAAATACATTTTCTCATGACAGAATATCAGCACTCCAACAGGACATCTGAAAACTGAACCTGTAGATAAACTACACACAGTAGACACACTTTGTCAAATTTAAACTGTTTCATTTTGTAAAGAAAAATAGTTTTACCATCACTCGATTCCTCCTCATCGTCCTCTTCTTCATCATCTTCCTCCTCCTCCTCTTCCGCCACCTTTAGGTCTCTAACAATGTGAGCCTGAGCCCCGTCCTCTCCCTCGGCCCCTGGGTCGCTGTCGGTCTTCAGCTTAGCATGAAGCTCCACAGCCTCTTTCCAGGGTACCCCTCCCAGGTCTGAGGGGCTGGGGGGCTCCTGCTCCTCCTCCATGTCAGACTCAGAGCTGCTGTAGGAGTGCAACAGAGGATATACACACACCAACACTTACTGGCACTGTATGTATCTAATACTAGACAAGCACTGACCATAACCATCACATAGGAGCATGCAATATTAAATGATAATTTAAGCATCTGCCACGGTTTGTGTACATTACAATACACAGTCCTAAGTTGGTGATATTCAACAGTTGCTGCCACTAGCCACCCCTCGCAGAGTTGACTGTCCCTCTGTCTTACCTGGAGCCCAGGTCTGCGTGTTTGTCCTTGTCCAGCACGCTGCTCAGGTTGTGTTCGGCCAGCATCTCCTCGGGCACCTCCTCCAGATCCTCCTCCCGCTGCAGAGATAGACGGTAGTTCTCCAGCTCGATGCGCTCCGGCGTGCCCCGCAGACGCTTAGGCAGGCTGGGCTCCTGCAGCCCGTTGACCTCTGGGACTGGGGTGGACCGTGGAGGGGCGAGGGCGGAGGGGTGTGGGGGAGAGAATACAGACAGGCTTTCTAAGAATCAGATGGGTAGCATGATTGAGGAGAGGAGCTGGAGGGATACAGCAGTGCAAGAGCCATGCAAGGCTGTAGACACTATGCAGGCTCGCGTATCATTCAAACTGGTGCTATGCTCCTTTGCAACTTCTCTCAAGGTTTGCACTATACCATCGGACCAGTATACTGTACCTACTGTATAACATTCTAGCAACCAGATCTTTTCCATAGTCACGTTTCCATGACTATAGTTGAGCACCAACTGATGTGTGTCATGTTTGAGACATTTTTATGTTTGTATACACATTTCTTTAGATTCTAGGACAAACAGACAAAAACACACAGTCATTCTAAGAATTTATTGCATTAATTGTTTTTCCTACAGTGGCTCACAAATATAATATATATTATTTATACTATAATATATAGAATGATATAATCTAAAATTCTATATGCAACAGGGTAAAGGTTGGTACTACTTTGCCTTTTTCCCATCCTTTCTAGCAAGTCGTAAAACTGACAGACACTGACAGTCTAGTACAGGATTGGGCAACTAGCATCCCGAATCTCTCCGCCCCATGGCAAAATGTGTAGAGTTGTATGAAATGAGTTATAAAATGTCAAAATCGTCTCTCCGCACCATGACAAAATGTGTAGAGTTGTATGAAATGAGTTATAAAATGTCAAAATCTTCTCTCCGCCCCATGGCAAAATGTGTAGAGTTGTATGAAATTAGTTATAAAATGTCAAAATCTCCTCTCCGCCCCATGGCAAAATGTGTAGAGTTGCAGGATGGATATGGATGTGAGTACGCAGACCAGTGAGCCAATGCGGCCCTTCATGATTTTATGTGGCCCCCTACCCCCATCAAAGTTGCCCATTCCTGGTCTAGTAGAATCAGTCTAAATTTTAGGTGAGATTACACACTGGCATAGGGCACTGCAACTGTTATTTAAAATGATAAATATAGCTTAAAATAAGGTGAGAGATAAACTTACCAACAGAAAATGTGTTGTAAGCAATGGCCGCATGCAACCCTCACCAAAGCATGGTGTGGTGAGGCAGCGAGTGAGATACTTCATTTGTTTTTATGTGATGGCGCTAGTGGTGACAGTTTATGTCAGATTAGTGAAACTGAAGAATGCAGAACTCTAGTATCACAGAGGGAGCATTTAGAAGACAATAGAGTCTGCATCACAGTCTCATGAGACAATAGATTCATGAGCCAATGAATCCGATTCGACCAACCTGATGATAGGGATTCCCACAGGTTAGTATGTGTTATGAAATGATCAATGTTAGCCATTAATACAAAAGTATGTGGACACCCCTTAAATTAGTGGATTCGGCTATTTCAGCCACACCCGTTGCTGACAGGTGTATAAAATCGAGCACACAGCCATGCAATCTCCAAAGACAAACATTAGCAGTAGAATGGCCTTACTGAAGAGCTCAGTGACTTTCAACGTGGCACCGTCGTAGGATGACACCTTTCCAACAAGTCAGTTGGTCAAATGTCTGTCCTGCTAGAGCTGCCCCGGTCAACTGTAAGTGTTGTTATTGTGAAGTACACATTTCTAGGAGCAATAACGTCTCAGCTGTGAAGTGGTAGGCCACAGAACGGGACCGCCGAATGCTGAAGCGCGTAGCGTGTAAAAAACGTCTGTTCTCAGTTGCAACACTCACTACAGAGTTCCAAACTGCCTCCGGAAGCAACATCAGCACAATAACTGTTTGTCAGGAGCTTCATGAAATGGGTTTCAATGGCCGAGCAGCTGCACACAAGTCTAAGATCACCATGCGCAATGCTAAGCGTTGGCTGGAGTGGTGTAAAGCTCCCTGCCATTGGACTCTGGAGCAGTGGAAACGCATTCTCTGGACTGATGAATCACGCTTCACCATCTGGCAGTCCGACGGATGCCATGAGAATGCTACCTGCCTGAATGCATAGTGCCAACTGTAACGTTTGGTGGAGGAGGAATAATGGTCGGGCGGCTGTTTTTCATGGTTCGGGCTAGGCCCCTTAGTTCCGGTTAAGGGAAATCAACGCTACAGCATACAATTACATTCTAGACGATTCTGTGCTTCCAACTTTGTGGCAACAGTTTGGGGAATGGTTTGTTGAGATCGGTGTGGAAGAACTTGACTGGGCTGCACAGAGCCCTGACCTCAACTCCATCGAACACCTTTGGGATGAATTGGAACGCCGACTGTGAGCCAGGCCTAATCACCCAACATCAGTGCCTGACCTCAGTAATGCTCGTGGTTGAATGGAAGCAATTCCCCGCAGCAATGTTCCAACATCTAGTGGAACGCCTTCCCAGAAGAGTGGAGGCTGTTATAGCAACAAAGGGGGGGACCAAATCCATATTAATGTCCATGATTTTGTAATGAGATGTTCGACGAGCAGGGGTCCACATACTTTTGTAGTGTATATGTCATGTCTGCGGCCTGCTTCTATCTTATCTTATTACCAAGTATAAATGTTCTAGTAGTTGCGGGATGATACCTTATACTTACCTTAAATATAATACTGGCCTAGTAGGCCTACAGATTACTTAATAAAATAATCTAAGCTACAAACTTCACACTTTAGATAATTAGCCGTACATTAGATACATCAACCTACACGTTTCATCTGTAGCATCTATGAGACTACAGTACATGCAAGAGAAATGCAGCATTTAGCAAAAGCAGTGGAGGTGTTAGAATGCAAAGAGAGGGGTGGGAAGGTAGAGGGATGCAGGAGGACAGACAGGACAGCCACTGACGGTACGGTCTGAGAGAGGAGAGGGAGGGTGGACCTAACAAGGGACCAATCACAAGCACTGTTTCAAGCACTAGCTCTCAGCTTCAGGCTGCTCTGACAGGAGGGTGAAAAGGTAAAGCTTACAAAGAACCAATCACAAGCACCTATACAGGCATGTTTCTAGTGAGCAGGTCAAATAGGACAAGGTAAAGCTAAGAAAGTCACAGACCACTACAGGTTACAATCACAATAGAGTTTGGCCTTCGATTAAAGCACAGGCAGGCAAAAGAGCATACTCAATGTATTTGTTGAGTAATATAACATGTTTAATATTTTAATTAAATTAATATAAATATTACATTTAATGTACAACTATTAAATCAATTCAACAGGTTACTGTTAAATGACTTAACTCGTTAAATTAATAATAACACAGTGAGAAAAGGTAAGTAACTACAGTTGAATTAAGTCTTAAAAACCCAGAGAAGCAAACAGCGAAGGCTCATCATTTTGCCTGACTGTTATTTTAATTTCCCAGCCGTGAGAAATCAAAGGAGATGCACCATTCGTTTAAAATTTAGCTGCCAGTGGGGCTACTTTACTGGCAAAAATTGGATGCGAAGGGGAGGGAATGCTGCATCTTCAAGAAATAAACAACACACCACACGCACAGAATCACAAGATTCACATCCATAGGACAGCTAGCTATACGAAAGAGGAATAGAGGATGCTAGCTTACATTCACTCAGAGTCATTCATTTATGAAGTATGGAGGGGGGAGGGGGATATGTTCTATGAGTACTGTAGTACATCATGCTGCAGGTCATGCTAGGAGATTGAGCAGGGCGTTGAGGGTGAAACAGCAGACGAGGTAGATACAGTAGGTATACAGGAAGGGCGAGTCGAGGGGGTTTAGCTCCACTTGGTGGCAGGTCCAGGACAGGGTGCGGCGGAGGGTGCGCAGGGGCCCCTCCCCCACCCCTCGAGCCCGGGCCAGCGGGGCCAGGCGGGGCAGTGGCACCACAGCTAGAGGAGAGGAGAGTGGGCTAGTGGGGGTACCTGAGGTCCGGCGCTCGGTGGGAGACGGCGATGCCATCTCCCCCCTCCCGGGGGAGTCCACGGTGACCACGGCGGGCAAGGACGCCTGGTTTTCCTGAAGACGCAACAGAGGTGGAGGGGAGGAGGGGGTCAATACACATCCTACATCTGCTGATTGTCCGACATGACAGATCCAGTGTGTGTACAGTGGGGAGAACAAGTATTTGATACACTGCCGATTTTGCAGGTTTTCCTACTTACAAAGCATGTAGAGGTCTGTCACATTGTATGATTTTTAAGTAATTAATTTGCATTTTATTGCATGACATAAGTATTTGATCACCTACCAACCAGTAAGAATTCCGGCTCTCACAGACCTGTTAGTTTTTCTTTAAGAAGCCCTCCTGTTCTCCACTCATTACCTGTATTAACTGCACCTGTTTGAACTCGTTACCCGTATAAAAGACACCTGTCCACACACTCAATCAAACAGACTCCAACCTCTCCACAATGGCCAAGACCAGAGAGCTGTATAAGGACATCAGGGATAAAATTGTAGACCTGCACAAGGCTGGGATGGGCTACAGGACAATAGGCAAGCAGCTTGGTGAGAAGGCAACAACTGTTGGCACAATTATTAGAAAATGGAAGAAGTTCAAGATGACGGTCAATCACCCTCGGTCTGGGGCTCCATGCAAGATCTCACCTCGTGGGGCATCAATGATCATGAGGAAGGTGAGGGATCAGCCCAGAACTACACGGCAGGATCTGGTCAATGACCTGAAGAGAGCAAGGTCCCCCTGCTCAAGGCAGCGCATGTCCAGGCCCATCTGAAGTTTGCCAATGACCATCTGGATGATCCAGAGGAGGAATGGGAGAAGGTCATGTGGTCTGATGAGACAAAAATAGAGCTTTTTGGTCTAAACTCCACTCGCTGAGTTTGGAGGAAGAAGAAGGATGAGTATAACCCCAAGAACACCATCTCAACCGTGAAGCATGGAGGTGGAAACATCATTCTTTGGGGATGCTTTTCTGCAAAGGGGACAGGACGACTGCACCGTATTGAGGGGAGGATGGATGGGGCCATGTATCGCGAAATCTTGGCCAACAACCTCATTCCCTCAGTAAGAGCATTGAAGATGGGTCGTGGCTGGGTCTTCCAGCATGACAACGACCCGAAACACACAGCCAGGGCAACTAAGGAGTGGCTCCGTAAGAAGCATCTCAAGGTCCTGGAGTGGCCTAGCCAGTCTCCAGACCTGAACCCAATAGAAAATCTTTGGAGGGAGCTGAAAGTCCGTATTGCCCAGCGACAGCCCCGAAACCTGAAGGATCTGGTGAAGGTCTGTATGGAGGAGAGGGCCAAAATCCCTGCTGCAGTGTGTGCAAACCTGGTCAAGACCTACAGGAAACGTATGATCTCTGTAATTGCAAACAAAGGTTTCTGTACCAAATATTAAGTTCTGCTTTTCTGATGTATAAAATGCAAATTAATTACTTAAAAATCATACAATGTGATTTTCTGGATTTTTGTTTTAGATTCCGTCTCTCACAGTTGAAGTGTACCTATGATAAAAATGACAGACCTCTACATGCTTTGTAAGTAGGAAAAGCTGCAAAATCGGCAGTGTATCAAATACTTGTTCTCCCCACTGTATGTGTGTGTGTGTGTGTGTGTGTGTGTGTGTGTGTGTGTGTGTGTGTGTGTGTGTGTGTGTGTGTGTGTGTGTAGAGAGAGAGGATGGGTCAGTAGTACCCTTGCATTGAGCAGAGCAGGGGTCGGTGCCGGCCTCTTCCTCTGAGCCTGACCAGACAAGCGGTAACAGTAGTGGGGCTTGCAGTAAAACTTCCCTATAGGAGAGGAGACAAAAACAGAGAAATATCAAATCAGTGCAAAACAAAACACTTTTCCAGATCAGCCTGCATTCACCTCATCTGGCTGTTGCATACTCTTCAGTATGGTGAAAGCCTCTGTGTGTATGAGAGTATGCTGCTCATAGGTAGACACTATTATTGTCCTCCCTCCCTCCCTCCCTAGGTTCCCAGTGGGCATTCTGGAGTCTGCTCTACCAGTGGGATGACTGGGATCACTAACTAAACAGGGAGAAACAGTCACTCTGTCATTGCTAACAATCTGCTACTTGTTCCACGAGCACAACAGACACCTTATGACACCCATAGAGAAAAAGTAATGAAATCACAAGACTGGAGCAGGCTCTAAGAGGGCAATGCAGGACAATCTGATAACTCCTACTGTAACCACAAGGACAAGGCTTGGTATAATTGACCATGCTAACAGTATATGTACACTACCAGTCAAAAGTTTGGACACACCTACTCATTCAAGGGTTTTTCTTTATTTTTATATTGCTTACATTGTAGAATAATAGTGAAGACATCAAAACTATGAAATAACACATATGGAATCATGTAGTAACCAAAAAAGTGTTAAACAATAGCCACCCTTTGCCTTGATGACAGCTTTGCACCCTCTTGGCATTCTCTCAACCAGCTTCATGAGGTAATGCATTTCAATTAACAGGTGTGCCTTCTTAAAAGTTCATTTGTGAAATATCTTTCCTTCTTAATGCGTTTGAGCCAAGAAGTTGAGTTGTGACCAGGTAAGGGGGGTATACAGAAGATAACCCTATTTGGTAAAAGACCAAGTCCATATTATGGCAAGAACAGCTCAAATAAGCAAAGAGAAACGACAGTCCATCATTACTTTAAGACATGAAGGTCAGTCAATACGGAACATTTCAAGGACTTTGAAAGTTTCATAAAGTGCAGTCGCAAAAACCATCAAGCGCTATGATGAAACAGGCTCTCATGAGGACCGCCACAGGAATGACCCTGAGTTACCTCTGCTGCAGAGGATAAGTTCATTAGAGTTACCAGCCTCAGAAATTACAGCCCAAATAAATGCTTCACAGAGTTCAAGTCACAGACACATCTCAACATCAACTGTTCAGAGGGGACTGTGTGAATCAGGCCTTCATGGTCGAATTGCTGCAAAGAAGCCACTACTAAAGGACACCAATAAGAAGAAGAGACCCGCTTGGGCCAAGAAACATGAGCAACGGTGGAAATGTGTCCTTTGGTCTGGAGTCCAAATTGGAGATTTTTGGTTCCAACCGCCGTGGCTTTGTGAGATGCGCTGTGGATGAACGGATGATCTCTGCATGTGTAGTTCCCACCGTAAAGCATGGAGGAGGAGGTGTTATGGTGTGTGGGTGCTTTGCTGGTGACACTGTCTGTGATTTATTTAGAATTCAAGGCACACTTAACCAGCATGGCTACCACAGCATTCTGCAGCGATACGCCATCCCATCTGGTTTGCGCTTAGTGGGACTATTATTTGTTTTTCAACAGGACAATGACCCAACACACCTCCAGGCTGTGTAAGGGCTATTTTACCAAGAAGGAGAGTGATGGAGTGCTGCATCAGATGACCTGGCCTCCACAATCCCCCCGACCTCAACCCAATTGAGATGGTTTGGGATGAGTCGGCGGCAGAGTGAAGGAAAAGCAGCCAACAAGTGCTCAGCATATGTGGGAACTCCTTCAAGACAGTTGGAAAAGCATTCCAGGTTAAGCTGGTTGAGAGAATGCCAAGAGTGTGCAAAGCTGTCATCCAGGCAAAGGGTGGCTATTTGAAGAATCTCAAATATAAAATATATTTTGATTTGTTGAACACTTTTTTGGTTACTACATGATTCCATATGTGTTATTTCATAGTTTTGATGTCTTCATTATTCTACAACGTAGAAAATAGTAAAAATTTAAAAAAAACTTGAATGAGTAGGTGTGTCCAAACTTTTGACTGGTACTGTATGTCTGCCTATGAGTAGGCCAACATGTCAGTCAGCATTTTCTACAGTATCATGATCATGTAACAAGCTCATTTGAGCGACTCTCAAATGATCTGATTGCATGTCAGTAATGTCTGTGCCCTGTTTGAATTTTGTCAAGACAAAACAAAGTGACTGTCATTCAGTGAGGTGTTTTTGTTAACATATCAACAGTGTATGCGAGGTAGGTCTGTTCACATGTAACAAACAGATCTGGGACCAGCTTACATTTGTATTGACTGAAAAGAACACTACAATATGATCATGGCGAGTGGTCTAAAGAAGCTTATTGGGCGTACGTACCATCCTCCACATCGAAGGCATAGGATGACAGTCTAAGCGTCGTTCCGCAGTAGTCACACTTGAAGCAGCTGCGGTGGAAGAACTTGCCCTCGGCACTCAGCCGCTCCATCACGTACACACGCTTCCGGCAGAAGAAGCACACGTCGCTGCCCCCGATGTTCTGGGGAAACTCTTTCCTCAGCGAACCCTGTAGAGGAAGAGAGGAGACTAAATCAGGGGCACGGGAGAGGTGCAGAGTGATGGAGAGAGAGGGTAGCTATTTTCCTGAAGCCCCAGCTTCACAACTTAGTGGGAAAATCTAACTGATAGAGAATTATGGGATATGGGATCAACTGTTCCATTGATATCAAACCATTCACAACCTAGTAGGCCATAAAATGGGAAACTAAAATAGAAGAACTTCGCATTTTCAGAAACACCGGAGATTATAGCACATTTTGGATACCACAACAAACGCGAGGTCAAATGTTCGACACACACAGAACAATGGTCACAGAGTTAGTTCCTAAGAAACACACAATTATAATACTTCTCTAGAACTAGCAGGAAGTCCTAGTTACACTCATTATCACCAAACACCACAGCTGCATTCGCAAGCTGGAGTCACTTCACTCTTGGGTCCACAACATGCCCAGTGCCCTACGACACCATTGGCTCTTACCAATTCCACCAATTCCCTCTTGTCAAGTGAGGGCTTAGGTTCCTCCTGAGGTTGAAGCTGATTGGCTATCTGATCAGCCAATAAGCTTACTCCCCCTGTGTACATCTTTAAATATCTCTATGGACGGCAGAGAGAGGAAGAAAGGACAGTAGGATGAGAGAGACAAAGAGACATGGAGGAAAAATAAAGACATGCAAAGAATGCAAAGGAATATGAGAGAACGGAACGACAGAGTAGTAGTATGAGGAAGAGGGGTAAACTATGATAGGAGGTCAGGTAGTACACTATGTAAGGCACTAAAGAGCACTGGAAAATAATAATAAACTGATATCATGAGAGGGAAATGAAGCCATGTTTGGTTGATCAAGCATGTAGATGTGTTGGCCCACCAACCCAATGAACTGCTTTGAATTAGTGTTTTCAACAGAAGAGAAATATGTACAAACCAACTGCTTAGAACTCTTGAACCCTCATTTACACTAATCAAGCCATGAGCCACACCACCACATGCAGTGTCCGACAGAAAGGGTACTGGGAGTTGAAGCATTACAACACCAGTGATGTCTATACACTATTACTTTAATGAGGAGCAAACAGCTGTTGACTGGCCCTGTGATGCTGAGCAATAAACTGTGGCTATATGAACCTACACCCATACACAGATGCACACAGACACACGCACAAATGTGATTGAGCATCCGCACAAATCCAGATTTATGGTGTTAATTTTCCCTGCGCAACCCTTTGGCTAATAAAACAAGAAACATAATTGCTCACCATGGACACAGGATGTTAGGATCAACTATGTACATTCAAAAGATCAGTGATTCATTGTATTATCTCAAACACGCTTTAACTGTAACCCTAAAATGGCCGGGAATAGATCTACAAAAATCCCTAAATAACATTTATCCTGCAGAGAGACAGAATTTAGGTCAGAGTTAGCACAGTGTAAGCCATAGAAAAGTATGACATTTAAATATTTAAAAGTATGGATGAGATTTACTGTAAATATACCATGCTGTATTATAATATATCATCTCTGAGCCATGATTACACCAACACAGTTGGAACAGAAAATTATTTGTTGTCAACATGAAGATCAAATTAGGCTGTCCTGAGGCAAAAACACCTGGCCGGGTCTCCCTAAGCACAGTGACCACAAAACTGCAATAATGCAGGCCACACCTAAGGGACTGCTAATATAAATCTATTGGAACATAAATCATTCATATAGCTATGACTACAGTACATTCTCTTCCACTTTTCACTGTGTCATCATCACACTTTTCACCACAGCTAGCTGAGCAATATCTTGGACTAAAACGGCACATGCGTTTACACCCATAGAGATGAACCATTCCTGTATGCATTATCCACATGCTTGTTAGGACACACATTGGATATCAGTTCAATCCCATATCAGAGGCCAGGCAGTGAGTTATTTGGCCCATCTCCCAGAGGCACTGAGTAAGGTAGTGTGTTAGAGTCAGCCACACTGCAGATCTCCTCAGGAGGGAGAGGCTACCTGTCGGAGAGTTTCAGGGGAGGAGAGGGGGCTCTCTGGGCTATGGCTGCGTGACAGATGCCACTGTTCTATAAAGAAACGTGAGGGCTTTTTCTTAGGCTCCAGGGGAAAGAGAGAAAAGAGAGGACAGTTAAGGCAGGAGGACATGGCATGAGAACAGAGAGAGTAGGTAGAGAAGCTGGTATGGAAATCCCTTGGCTGGGTCATTTTCTAATTCTACAGAATACAAGAATGACAGATACTGAGTAAACAGTAGGACGAATCACAGTGGTGTTTTATCTATTGTTTTATTACTCGATCTGACATTAATGACATATTGTAAAGTAACTAAGGAGATCAGAGATCAGGTCAGTTGTTGTGGTAAAGTCCTGGACTTTGAACCCAGGCCAGGGCTATCGAGTGGTACCTGTGTTAACCCTGGACTTTGAACGGCCAGGCCAGGCTATCGAGTGGTTGTATCCAACTGGACTTTGAACCCAGGCCAAGGCTATCGAGTGGTGTGTTCACCTGTGGCTTTGAACCCAGTCCAAGGCTATCGAGTGGTGATGTATCACCTGGACTTTGAACCCCAGGCCAAGGCTATCGAGTTGGTGTGTATCACCTGACTTTGAAACCCAGGCCAAAGGATATCGAGTGGGTGTATCACCTTGGCTTTGAGACCCAGCCAAGGCTATCGAGTAGGTGTGTATCACCTGGACTTGAACCCAGGCCAAGGTATCGGTGTGTGGTATCAGCCTGGACTTTGAACCCAGGCCAGGCTATCGAGTGGTGTGTATCACCTGGACTTTGAACCCAGGCCAAGGCTATCGAGTGGTGTGTATCACCTGTGCTTTGAACCCAGGCCAAGGCTATCGAGTGGTGTGTATCACCTGTGGCTTTGAACCCAGGCCAAGGCTATCGAGTGGTGTGTATCACCTGGACTTTGAACCCAGGCCAAGGCTATCGAGTGGTGTGTATCACCTGGACTTTGAACCCAGGCCAAGGCTATCGAGTGGTGTGTATCACCTGGACTTTGAACCCAGGCCAAGGCTATCGAGTGGTGTGTATCACCTGTGGCTTTGAACCCAGGCCAAGGCTATCGAGTGGTGTGTATCACCTGTGGCTTTGTCGGCTTGCTTTGAAACTGTGAGGCTAGCTGCTCAGCCCTCTCCTGTATACTAAGGACATGTAACGGCATTTGGTCATCAGAGCGCAGATGCTCTAGCTCCTGCAGAAGAAGGCATTATTAGATTACAAAGAACAGAATAGGACGGGTAAGGCAGAATTTAGCCATGCACTTTTGTTTTTGTGCTGTTTTCACAAAACATCCCATGCTCCACACAAGATCCAGATTTTATTTAACCTTTATTTAACCAGGAAAGACCATTGAGGTTAGAAAACTATTTTGCGAGAGCAACCTGATTGATTGTGATAGATGATTTAGCTTTGTGTGTTAGGCTATTTGTGCGTGCTTTAGTGGTTTAAGGGATTTTTATGTGACAGGTTCATCTGACCTATGCATACTAACAAGGGTGCCCTGACTGCTGCGCCTTGACATAACTAATCCACTATTAGCAGAGGTAACTACTCATTTATGATGTACTTGTAAATGCTGCATTGTTCCAAAGCCAATCTCCATTTGCCATGCAGTAGAAACACAGGGGCAAATTCAGCTTAGGTCAATTTATGAGGTTACTGGTTAGCAGGGTGGTTACTGGTAGGTTTCTGGTTCGAATCCCTGAGCTGACTAGGTGAAAAATCTGTTGATGTCCCCTTGAGCAAGGCACTTAACCCTAATTGCTACTGTAAGACGCTCTGGATAAGAGCGTCTGCTAAATGACTAAAATGTAAAATGTAGCAGTCTGAGGAGAAATGTTATAATGCAGCTGTCATTGACGGCAGTAGGTATATCTTATATAATTTAAATAGAGCCAATCTATCAAAATCAATCTAGTGAGGTTTCCAGGAAGCAGAGATGAGGTAATGTGTTAGTGTAGTTGTCGCCAGAGAGGAGGGGCTACCTGTCTGATAGTTTCAGGGGAGGAGAGGGGGCTCTCTGGGTTCTGGCTGCGAGACAGATGCCACTGTTCTATAAAGAAATGTGAGGGCTTTTTCTTAGGCTCCAGGGGAAAGAGAGAGGACATCAAAATAGGACAGTTCATAAAAGGCAACAAATCAAATCAAATTGTATTTGTCACATGCGCCGAATACAACAGGTGTAGACCATACAGTTAAGGTAGTGAATGTAGTGTGTTAGAGGACAGGACTGAGAATGATGAGAATGAGGAATTAGCACTTAGCTAGAGTACAGTAGTAAACCAACACCAAAGACATTCAAACTATGAAAAAATGAAATAAATCCACTAGGCCTATCACTTACAGATAATGAATTGACTGATTATTTACGGCTCTGTTTTTTCACACAACATGCCATACCTTTTGTTTCTCAGGTTTACACTTAAATTTAGCGACTAATCTCGCAGACCTCTCCTGAATGCTAGGGATGTGAATAGGCTCTGGCTCCTCAAGCTGCACGGGTTTCCATTTCTGCAGATTAAACCAAGGTAAGCATTGTGTGTGTTTACAGTCTGTTTGTCCCAAAACATGATAATACTGGTTTGATGCAGTTAGCTGGTATGGCTGGCCTGAGAATTTATGACAGGCTATGGAATAACATAGCTCTATTGACAACCCACTCTTTCAGGGGGAGTTGGGATATGCAAAAAACACATTTCCAATTCACACATGCGTATTAACACACACTTGTACATGTGTGAAATAGGACAAATATAAGCACCCACCAAATTATTATTATAATTTACAAATTGCACACATATCATATAATACTGTATATGAGTCAGCATGCAAGCACTGCTATGGTGATAGAGAACAAACAATGGTGCCCAAACTAAACATATGAAACCAGCCTTGAAATGACATACTTTAAGTCATCATCTGCTTACACTTTGTTGATTGTTCCAATCATTATATTCTGACCACAACAATCCCTTCCATTCCACACAATCCGTAGAGACACCCAGTCACACACACTCTGCCTGTGTTGTTAGTTCCCATAGGGTTAGCACGGATCACAGGCCCATTCAACCATGGTTACCCTGTGTGTCAGAGGGGTCTGGTCCTGTGTGGTGTCTTCCTCCTCCATACCTCCTCTATCACAATGCTGAAGGACGCACACACACACACAGACACTTCAATACTGACCACTGACAGCTAGGACCATGTTTCTCCTCTCTGGGCCTTCATAAACAAACCACATCATTACATATACAGCATCAGATCTTTCACTGCAGAAAGTATGGCAACAAGGCCCCCACCTACACACTGGTCAGCCACAACACAAGCAAACCCTCTCAAAGTTAACAAAAAGCAACCCACTCACAGGAAGAATGGAAACTAAGACTAGATATAGTTTATTTTATTTAGGTTGGAAGTCCTCTACAACGTTAATATGGGGAGGGGAAGAAGAGTCACTACATTTAGCTTTCTACTTTGACGGCACAATTGGAGAACTTGTACGTAAGGTAAGACAAGTGTCAAGACCTGAGAGGATAGATGTTAGCTAAAGGATCAACAAGGAAGAGGACAGGAGAGTGTGTCTGGTCTGGTCTGGCACAGACTGGTCACCTGTGAGTGAAGAGAGAGTGAGGAGGTGGTAGAAGAGGAGGAGAGCAGAATGGGTTTCTTAGGGCAGCTCCGTGTGCCCGAGGTTGACTCTGTACTGCTTCTTGGCTTGAGAGTGGAGAGGAGGACAGGCCATCACTTGCTGGTGTCACCGACGTGCACACTTCCACCATTCAACACGTGCACACACATACACACACACACACCATTCAAGGTATCATATTACCTCATCCAAATTCACTTTTGATTACCTCATCCATACACATTTACATATTAATCAATTTAACTAATGATTCACATCCAATAGGCTAAAACAATCATCTTCTACAGTGTCACCCTCACCCACACACTCATTCTTGTAACTACCGCTGGCATTCTACCACACTACACACTCAAGCCAACACTGTTGCATCACACACACACACACACACACCACCCACTGGATGTATGTGGAAAATTAAGGCAAATAAACCAAATTTCTTCACATTTCCCAACTCTAGTTAGTTTACAGTTAGCAAGCATGAGATAAAAAAATAAATAATGTTTTCTTCAACGGCCACAAAAACCTTTTGGGTCGCTCTTGTTGGTGAATGAGAAAAAAATGTGAGGAATATCATGATACTGCGGTGAGCGAGAGTATACTTATGTGTAGGGTTGCAAAATAACGGAAACTTTCAATAAATTCCCTGGTTTTCCAGAAATCCTGGTTGGAGGAGTCCGGATTTCCTGCTTATTCACTCCTGATTCCGGGAAATCCTCCACTGGGATTTCTGAAAAACCAGGGAATTTATTGAAAGTTCCAGACATTTTGAAACCCTATTTTGTGAGTCTGAAGAGCTACTAAAACATTCACACTAATCAGTGAAAAAAAAGTGTGTGAGATGGAAAAGTGGTACTGTCCCGGAGTCGGAGTCGTCGGGTGAGGTTGTGTCTCTCTCTGGCGGGAGGTAAGCTTGGCTTATATGGTGTCGAGTAAAGTTTAAACCATGTATTTAGATTGTAGTTAGGTATTGTAGGTAGTTTATCTAGGTAGTTATCGTAGGTTATTGTAGGTAATTATTGTAGTTAAGTATTGTATTCACCTGAGCCTGGTGAAGCACGAGGCTAGCTAACCCACTACCTGGACTAGCTAGCGGGTAGCTACTGGTAACTATTAGCAACTGTGGATAGTTGTTTCCAATGTTATTTCACACTTAAGAGTACCTGTAATTATGCCAGCTAGCTGCCTACCATTCAGCTGTTTTTCTAACCTCATTATCTGAAGCGTTAACGTTAGGTAGTTAGTAGCTACTGTACTCGAAATGTAGCTAGCTTGTTGCTACCTGGATAGCTAACTAAACAATAGCTGGAACGACCTAGCGAACAGACACGAACTGGCTGAATCGATTCAGTGGCTAGCTTTGCACTTAACTGGCTAACAGTAGCTACTAAGGGTAAGTTATAACCTACATTTGTGTTTTGTTTTTACATACTGGTAACCAGAGTCGTTCAAGGGAATTCGGGACATGGGTGACTAGTTAACGTTAGCTTGGCTCTCTCTGTGTTCGTGCCGTGGGAGGAGGGGTTTTTCATTGGCAGAGAGCAATGGCTAGCTAGTATGCTAACTATTCTAGCTAACTAACTGGCTGAATAAGTTGGCGGACTCACTCAAACTGTCAAAACTAACCCAAAACTTTACACAACGTTAGACACGGACACGAATGATCTGCTTGGCGTGTTAACACACTGGTGGTTTGTTGTAACCGAGTATTGGTGCTAAACCGTGTTATTGGAGGCTGGCATGCTAGTTGGCTATGGCGTCATAGGATTTGGTGCCCTGGACGATTTTCACGGAAGAATACTGTACCAAGTTAGCTAGCAGAATAAACTAAGTTAGTTAATTCCTAGAAAACATTGAACCGCTGTAGTTTACAACAATTATAATTTCTAAAGTGGAAGTTGGGAGTTATATTTGAGTGTTTCAGTGAAACGTAAGTGAGGGAGGCCCCGCTCTCTCGCTTTTCCAGATGTTTAGTTCATTTCATTCCGATCTCCTTTGCATCATTGTAGGAATTTTCTGTAGCCTGTCAACTTATGTGTCTGTCTATCCCTGTTCTCTCCTCTCCGCACAGGCTATACAAACGCCTCACAACGCGTGGCTGCTGCCACTCTAACCTGGTGGTCCCTGCACGCACGACCCACATGGAGTTCTAGGTCTCCGGCAGCCTCTGGAACTGCCGTTCTGCAGCCAACAAGGCAGAGTTAATCTCAGCCTATGCTACCCTCCAGTCCCTCGACTTCTTGGCGCTGACGGAAACATGGATTACCACAGAAAACACTGCTACTCCTACTGCTCTCTCCTCGTCTGACCATGTGTTCTCGCATACCCCGAGAGCATCTGGTCAGCGGGGTGGTGGCACAGGAATCCTCATCTCTCCCAAGTGGACATTCTCTCTTTCTCCCCTGACCCATCTGTCTATCTCCTCATTTGAATTCCATGCTGTCACAGTCACTAGCCCATTCAAGCTTAACATCCTTATCATTTATCACCCTCCAGGTTCCCTTGGAGAGTTCATTAATGAGCTTGACGCCTTGATAAGTTCCTTTCCTGAGGATCGCTCACCCCTCACAGTTCTGGGTGACTTTAACCTCCCTACGTCTACCTTTGACTCATTTCTCTCTGCCTCCTTCTTTCCACTCCTCTCCTCTTTTGACCTCACCCTCTCACCGTCCCCCCCTACTCACAAGGCAGGCAATACGCTTGACCTCATCTTTACTAGATGCTGTTCTTCTACTAATCTCACTGCAACTCCCCGCCAAGTCTCCGACCACTACTTTGTATCCTTTTCTCTCTCGCTCTCCTCCAACACTACTCACTCTGCCCCTACTCAGATGGTAATGCGCCGTCGCAACCTTCGCTCTCTCTCTCCCGATACTCTCTCCTCTTCCATCCTATCATCTCTTCCCTCTGCTCAATCCTTCTCCCTCCAATCTCCTGATTCTGCCTCCTCAACCCTCCTCTCCTCCCTTTCTGCATCCTTTGACTCTCTATGTCCCCTATCCTCCCGGCCGGCTCGGTCCTCCCCTCCTGCTCCATGGCTTGACGACTCATTGCGACCTCACAGAACAGGGCTCCGGGCAGCCGAGCGGAAATGGAGGAAAACTAGTCTCCCTGCGGACCTGGCATCTTTTCACTCCCTCCGCTCTATATTTTCTTCCCCTGTTTCTGCTGCTAAAGCCACTTTTTACCACTCTAAATTCCAAGCATCTGCCTCTAACCCTAGGAAGCTCTTTGCCACCTTCTCCTCCCTGCTAAATCCCCCCCCCCCCCCCCCCCCCTTCTCCCTCTCTGTGGATGACTTCGTCAACCATTTTGAAAAGAAGGTTGACGACATCCGATCCTCGTTTGTTAAGTCAAATGACACCGCTGGTCCTGCTCACACTGCCCTACCCTATGCTTTGACTTCTTTCTCTCCTCTCTCCAGATGAAATCTTACGACTTGTGACAGCTGGCCGCCCAACAACCTGCCCGCTTGACCCTATCCCCTCCTCTCTTCTCCAGACCATTTCCGGAGACCTTCTCCCTTACCTCACCCGCTCATCAACTCATCCTTGACCGCTGGCTATGTCCCTTCCGTCTTCAAGAGAGCGAGAGTTGCACCCCTTCTCAAAAAACCTACACTCGATCCCTCCGATGTCAACAACTACAGACCAGTATCCCTTCTTTCTTTTCTCTCCAAAACTCTTGAGCGTGCCGTCTTTAGCCAACTCTCCTGCTATCTCTCTCAGAATGACCTTCTTGATCCAAACCAGTCAGGTTTCAAGACTGGTCATTCAACTGAGACTGCTCTTCTCTGTGTCACGGAGGCTCTCCGCACTGCTAAAGCTAACTCTCTCTCCTCTGCTCTCGTCCTTCTAGACCTATCTGCTGCCTTTGATACTGTGAACCATCAGATCCTCCTCTCCACCCTCTCCGAGTTGGGCATCTCCGGCGCGGCTCACTCTTTGATTGCGTCCTACCTGACAGGTCGCTCCTACCAGGTGGCATGGCGAGAATCTGTCTCCGCACCACGTGCTCTCACCACTGGAGTCCCGGGGCCCCTAGGCTCCA